CAGCTTTTCATTTGTTTCTACTAGACGGATACTAGGTTTTTCTGCTGTCCAGTATTTTTACATTAATAATGGACAGTATCACCCAAAAAAGGGGACAAAGTTAACGTCCACAGTGTCTATCCTGAGTCCTTTTAGTTTTGTGATAATTACAGCCTATGCACAAGAAACACAGCAAATTCCAGCCCTTGCCTTCATTCTGCCACTGTACCCAAGTGTCCTCAGCACTTTTAGATCTGCGCAGTCAAGGAGACATTGTTACTAGATAATACCACAACCTAGGGTCTAGCACACCCTGGCCAGGTTCTATGCACCACTTAAATCCCATTTAAACTTTATGTAAGGGGACTATGTGGGATTTAAAAGGTGAACTGGCTTTGTGCCGAGCCTTTAAGAAATTAGGTATGGAACAATAAAGACAGTGTACTGTACAGAAAGAGTTTGATCCCAGCCTCACCAGAGTCAACAGTATCTTCATGGGAGTATAATCAGTCCCTGAGTATTTTCCCTCTTCCTTTTCCCTAGCTCAACTGCACAGATACTTTCCCCATATTTTCAACAGATCTTTTCCTTTCTTGCATCCTTTGCTGCAGAAGTCATTGCAACATCTGCCACAAAGCTACAATGGGGAGGGTACTAAATATGGGAAGAAACATTGATCAACTCACATTGCACCAAAATAACTGTCCACAGATTAGTAACTGTGATATTGGCTTTTCAGTGGTGCCTCGCTCCTATGTCACCCTGCATATGCAGTTCACAGAGAAAGAAACATCCAGACCATCAGCTGGTATGAATCAGCATAGCTGTGCTGATTACATCAGCTGAAGGTTTAGTATAACATTAGCGAAACCTCTGATCAGAGTTTAGGGAGAGAATTGTATATTCCTTGTGCATACCAGTTAAAATTACAAAAGAAACCTTAAAATGATTATTTTTATAAAACTTTTTGGTACATTTCCTTTGCTTGCTCAAGTGTCTTCTAGAAACGTTCACATGACAAAAACACCAAGCAACAGTTCACAGAGTGGATTTTTAACCTTTCAAAGATTTAACACCTAACGAATCCACATAAGATTTCTGAACTATAGCTTAACATACAAACTTTAACAGTATCAGATTATTTAGAGTGTTTTGGCTTTGATGTAGAATATTAACTTAGTGGTTAGTGAGAGACTTTGAATGAACTCTAAGCCCTCTCCTTTTGAAAAAGCCAGTTTCATATGCTGTAAAGCTGGTGTACGTCAGTTAAGAGGCACTCTGAAACGTAAATTCTGGAAGAAGTAATAACATAATAAAAAAAATCTATGTAATGATATACTGGACATAATTAAACATTAGTCCAAGAACACCTCAAAGCCATGGCAGCATTATCTTCTTGATCAAAACAAGCAATAGCCTCCTAAAAACAGCAGCCATAACCACCCTTTCTTCTTCTATGGGGGCAAACCAAAGTGCTTAGGCTTCCTATCATTCTCTAGAGGAGAAAAGACACTATCAAAGTCTACTGCATAGCTTGCTGACCCTGTAGACAGCCAGGTCTGAGGTCTCTCACAAGTAGCTATTTGTTTTAATTTCAACAACCATTTTCCATCAGTCTCAGAGTTACAATGTTAAAAGGCATCTGAGAATGGAAAAAATACAGGCCTTTTGCCATGTGAACTCATTTCTGCCTCTAAGCACGGATATGCACAGTGCAAACACTTCCATTCTTCCATTTGAAAGGTTTCACACACCCACAAATCTTCGTGTGCTTTCAACAGCAAGAAAGTAAGAGGGAGGGACTGGGGACACATGCAGCACATACCTGAAGGCAAAACTTTTTCCAGCATTTCTTTAAAAGTATATTCCAAAAAGTAACTTTTATATATCTTTGTTTCTGAAAAGGACTAAAATTGCCTCCTACAATACATGCACCTTGCTGAAATTTGTCCCTTTGTTGTTCAGTGCTGTGACACAAGTTACTAGGACATATCCCTGGCCAGCAGAATAAGTAATACACCATTAGAACTTACCTATTTGTTCCTATCTGTCCTGCTTTGAGAGTCACTACATTTGGTGACATTATATAGCATCAACAATTAGGGCAAAAACAAAAGACATCAGCTGACATCACCACACAAACAGACATCGTCAGCCAAATATGACTGAACTACAACCCAGTCCTGCAGCCCAGCGATGCCCAGTAATCAGGCTGGCTTTAATGGGACTGCTACAATAATCAAAATATGCAGTACTAGCCTTGGGTGTTCTTAAAAGCAAAGGAGACCAGCTGCAAATTTCAAATTAAACTTCAGAAAGTTTTTGGTCAAGCCAATTTTTCAACTTGGTCAGTTACAAAGACAGGTAACATCTGACAGCTCTGGGTCTAGATCTCAGATAATGGCTGGCACGGAAGAGGGTCAACGCAAGCTGTGCTGGCAGCTCCACAGCATGGCAGTCACAAGCAAGGCTGAAACTACATAAAAGCCATATCTCAGTGAAGAGGAAGCATTTCTGAATAAATGATGGAAAATGACTATCTCGCTTCAGAGTACTTCTGAAGCTAGAGAAAAAAGCAGGAAAAACCAGGGGATTCAACAGCGTTCATTCTACCCTGGGAGAAAATGAGAAAAATATCTCATCTGCTTTATTTAAAGAATGGCTACAAGGCTACTCTGAAGCGTAAAGGAGGGTAGCGAAGGATGTGGAACTCTCTTGAGCTCCGAAAAAGGTGGACTGAATTGCCAAAGAAATTTATGACCAGGACTATTGGCTTCCTGTCTTTGATGTCTATTCTTGGCTTTCCAGGAGCATTATGGCATTCATGAGGTGAAAATCGCTCTAGAGCCAAGGTCAGCTAAGGCTGATGCAGCCTGTTCTACTGCAAAGCTGAGAAATTCACTCTGAACTGCTTCAAGATGCTGAATTTAAAGCCTGCAGACACTTCATTAAGGGCCTGTGCTTGCTTCCATTGAGTCGATGAGAGTTTTTTTCATCAGCTTAATAGGAGTAGGATTGAATCTCCAAGTCAAAAAATTAATCAGAGATCAACCTCTCAATAAAACACCCTGTCAGGCAACACACTCTTATTTTGTTCTGCACAACTCTCATCCTCCCAGGATTTTCAAAGCATTAGCCACATCTTAATAATTCCCAATTAAAAAATAACAAAAGACTTTCAAAAATGCAAGACAGCATTTCTAAAAAAACAATCTGAAAATAGATCATTAAAATTTCTTTTATTTTCAGAAGTGAATGAATATACCTCTTTAATTTCTGGACACAATCTTGCAAGGTGCACAGCACCCTCAATCCTAATTTTTAGCAATGGCTCAGTGTTCTCAGAACTTAGCTGGGTTTGGTCTTCAGTGAAGCACATCAGAGAAGGAACTGCTTATAAACTGCTGAGACAACTCAGGACAGACAAACCGTTCATAAGCAAAACTTCCAGAAGTACCTGTGGCCCAGACTAAGGCATCTAGACATCTGACTCTAAAGCTGCGGGTTTCAGCATACCAAATCAGAGGTACTTTTGAAAGTTTTGCTTCATCTTTGTCTTTGGAGAGTAGTCTGCAATAGCCAACTTGCAGTGAAAGCCTGTAATACGTTGAAGATAAGGGAGTGAAAGTCAGATAACTTGTCCCTAGAATCCTCAAGAAAAGACTCTATTAAATTACTTAATATTGTTCAGCTTAAAGAAATGCTAAATTAGCTGAAGATCTCACTTTGACAAACAAAAAAAAAAAGCAAAGCCACAAGTGCAGTTTCAAGTTAACAACCACAACTGTAAGACTTAATAAACATCAAGACTACGGGGCCAACCTTTCTCTGATTCAAGTACATGGAGAGATTCCTCTTGGTTCAACCAGAACAAGGATCATACCCTTTGGTCCTGAGTGAGCATAGCACTTAGAAGCTGAAGTCAAGCATATTTTAAGTGTGTTCTAAAGTGCTGGGCTGAGTCAAGGCCCTCCTTGTGCTGCTCTGTAATACAGACGTATGTTTGTAATACGGGCAATTTGTTGCAGCCAAAAATGTAGGTTTTGAAAATTCTTTTGAGAATCCATTATTATTATTTTGATTAGACATTCCCTTACAGAGGTTGAAGCTTAAACATTGTGGCATTGAGCTAATGCAGATGAGCAAGAAAGGAAAAGTGTATTAGATGGTAAAGAATCTCTCTGCTGAATAATCTAAACTCAAAGCAGTTTGTGATCTATGGTCCTTGGAAGATCTGAGAACTATTAGCGAGAGCCCTGTGAAAGGCAGTTAAGAAGAGTAAGTTTGTTTATGCTATACAGGAATCTACTCATGTGAAATGTCTGACATGATCTCTACACCTCCATGGCAAAATTGTACAGGTGTGCCCAAATTTAGAAAGATTACAACCCATTGATCTAAAACATTCTAATGTGCAAGAATCGTTCACCTTTTGAAGGATGGTTGGAGATGCTGGGACGTAAAGTTGTGACCAGACCTCCATGAGCATCCCACCAGCAGAAATCTCAAACACCTCAAAACACTTCCTGAGGCCATGATTAAAAATGTTTCATATAATTGGGGATCAAAATTATTACACTTTTAATTTAAGACTGACCTTTAATTATACTTTTTCTTTTTCTTTTTTTTTTTGATTTAGTTATAGTAAAATGGCACAATAAAAATATTGTCCTAACAATTTGTTGTCCTAGCCAGATCGCTTCTGGCCCAAACCTTCAGGTTTGACCTAACAGTGCTTGGCACAGGAAAAATACAGATCTACACTACTGCAATGCTCCCTAACTAGGGACCAGTGGATGTGAGCTCAGACTGCACGGCAAGTCAGAGCAAACATTTCTAAAAAAGTTTATCCTTGAAATCATACTCTTTTTTTTTTTTTTTTTAAATTTCCTTCCCTTTTTCAATGGCAAAGTAGTCAAACAGATAAAAGAAAGTAAGAATAGTGAAAGGTGTAATTTCAAAACAAAACATAAAACTCCCTTTGAAATCAGTTTAAAAAAAAAGTAATCACACCCCTCCCCCCCAAGGTAAATAAAGTCAACTGCTTGAAAAAAAAATTCCAAAAAACAATTAGAAAGTATTTTTTTCCACCTCAACACTACAGCAGTATGACTGCTGCTCTAATCAACGTCCTTCTGTTGCCCATGGTCTAAGGGGGCCACTCCAGGAAACAGCATCCATCGGCCTACGTGTTACTTTGGCCAAGGCACCTCTGTAGAAGTCATACACTGTAGGTCAACATTGGGAAATGAGATGATGTGAATCTACCACATGAATGACAGCTCTGCTACAGCGAGGCCTAAAGCCACCACATCTACGCGCTCTACAGCCATCACCTATTCTAAAGCAGCCCTGAAATTCGAGAAACCCTGCCTTGGGACATTAGACTATTTCAAAAGGGCAGGCAATGAACCACTACATATGTTAAGAGACAGTGCAATGTAAGAAATAGTGAAACCAGTCCAAGGAAATACCCTATGGGATCTATGCACTTAACATTAACAGAAAAAAGACAGTTGAAGGAAGATAAAGACAACTTTTGCTCTTCACTCACTCCCAGCTACCCCAAAACAGTTTCTCTGAATTTGCACTCTGGCTTCTCAGAATATAAAAGCTTTGTAGAACATGGGCTTCAGTGCCAGTTTTGAGGCTAACATTCATGTAAAGAATAATTATGGGACCAAAAAGTTCTGCTTATGAAATCAGAATAGGATAAACCAAAAGATTTCATGCATTAGAATCATAGCCACAGTTGGCAGTTGGATTTTCTCAAACAATATTTGTATGGGTCTTATTCGTCACATTTATAATATGTACTGTTTGCTTCCATTTGTTGACTAGAAAGCAGAGCTCTCCTCTGTCTAACGTAAAACAACCTGTTAGTAGCTAATTCATCACAGATTCAGTCTTGCTCCCAATAAAGTTAATGGCAAAATTCCCAACACTACTGATGGCAGCAAGATTAAAGTTAGCCCTACAGTAGTGTTTTACCACCCCAGTCGCGAAGGTAGTTCTTTGTGTGTTTAATTGTGCATACATGAATGATTAGTCTCACTGACTAATGTGAGACTCTCCAACATAGGAAAAGTTAATTATTTTCAGGATCAGGGCCATCATATAGGCAATTGTATAAGCACATTTATACTAGTTAAATAACTATTTGCATGTTGCACATGCCTGGAGAACAGAGTGGAGCAAAAAGCTTGTTATTATCCATGAACTCCCTTCTCCTCCCCAAATACTGATTTTTAAAATGTATTTACATCTATTGACTTTCTCTGCATGTTACTCCTATCATAAAAAATATGTCTTCAAAACATTCACTCCCCTTGATTTTAACCCTACCGAAGCAAAAAATAGATATTTCAATAGAAAAATACAAGATAAAAAATATCCTAAAAATAAAATGTTAGCATGGAATGTTGTTTTTACACAAAAAGACCCTCTTGTGAATTGCCTCTGCTATACAAACACTTCTGTATCTTTTATATTTACATATTTTGGATGTAATCCTGTACTCACTGAAGTTAATGGGACTTTGCCATTGACTTCACTTGGAACAGGAGCAGGCTCTACATAGACTATATTTGCTCCTCTGAAAGGTGACAGCAGTGGAGAGAAAAGAGCATGATAAAACACATATAAGACTGAATAATTAGCCAGTCCTCTCTGGAAGCCTGATTGTCTTCTCCCATGCTATTTTAAACCAGTGAAACTCCACGTCCTTCACTGGAGCTGTTCCTGACTCCCTGTGTATACGAGGGAGAATCAGTGCTTTTGACTTCGATACTGTACACACAAGGAAGGGAGGACTTGTGTGTTTCCACCTGCCTCACTTTCTCAGTGGAGTTAATTACACTCAAGTGCCAGTTCCCTTCCAGGACTGAACTCCATATATCCAATCCTGCATCCCCTGTAATCAATTGCAATCATTCAGCAATGCAGGATCATACCCCAGATTAACCCCTTTTTTCATTCTGACAGCAAAGCAGCACCTCCACAGACACCTTTGTGCCTGTGAAACCACATTTGATACCCACAAGTGAGATGCCATTAAGGAAAGAGGCAGTAGGAGACAAAAAGAAGGGAACAGAAAGAGGCATCCCCATCAACTAAGCCCAAATCTGCTGCCCTTAGTATATGCCTTAAGAAATATTGTCTTTACACATTAGGTACATCTGACAAGATCAAACTGTGTCATTTCCTTTTTTCATGAGATGAAAGGCCATGTGGCATAATGTGATTAGTAAATCATTCCTGAGCTTCTGAAAGAAATTAAGATAAAATTACTGCTCAAAAGAGTGAGTTCTTCGAGAGCCTCTTCTTTTTACACTGATGTCTTTGGTTGTGTCCGTTTCCCTAATCTCTTTTTCCAGGAAGAATGGGATTATTTTTCTTCTTTATGCAGCAGAAAAATGAGATCTAATGGAGTCTTCACGTAACTGCCGATGTTTCCCCATGTTACAATCCTCCTGTCGAGTTCGTCTTTCAATAGTTATTCTGTATTTCTTTCTGCATGAAAGGAGAAGAACAGAGTGAGAAATCGTTCTCCAGCTATAGGATAACAGGACTTCCCTTATAAAGAATGCCTGTAGGGGACAGCTGGATGCCAGTTGAAAAATGAAATGTGACAGAATGTGAAACTCTGGTCAAAGATTAAAGTAGTTTGCCTTGAAACATTTTACCCAAGCTCAGGAATGCCTGTTAATTTCTCCACAGCAGTCTCAAAGCACCAAGACACAGACATTTGTTTCTTTGAAAATTTCTGATCTAAGTGATTAGGAAGTTTTTGTGAAGTGGCATGTGAACTGTGTCACATCACTGCTTTATACTGATCAAAGCCAAATTTCTTTCCTGTATACAGAGGCACTTTCTGCAGAGTTCAAACAACGGAGCTGACCCTTTATTCAGCTGCATTTCTCACTGAAACTATATATTAACTAACTAGCCCTCCCATCTCCCTCTGAGGAAAGTTACTATGTTTATAATGTCAGTGGAGGTAGTAAGATGAATTAAGAAGTGGGAAGTAGACGACAGATAAGGAGTAAATACAACTGCTCACGCATCAGACAGTTTTTCCTGTGCATCTTCCTCCAGGTCCTTTTGAAGGATTCTGTTAATGCTACTTCGTGTGTCAAACAGAAGCCTTCAGATTGCTTTTCTGTTCCTCGTCAGTATCCAGATCGCCAAAAAAAAATCATTAGACTCCCCACATTTATATTTTATGCATTTTTGCATCTACTGAGTTTCAGGACCAATTTTTCAAAAGGGTGTTAGTCCAGCTGCTCTGCATACAGTACTGCTTGTTCAGGCGCATGACAAAATATTTGTATGCCAAGGATATCTCTGTTCCATCTGCACGCGTAGCAGGGGTCAGAGCCAGACATATAGCGATGAAAGAAGGATTTTCAGAACACCACGATTTTTAAAAAGGTCGTCTAGCTGGATAAGGTGGTTCAATAGAAAGTGGGTACCTCTGCATCTTGAAAAACTCCCCTAGACATCTGTATCTGTAGGCTCCAAAAAAACTTTAAAAACCTGTATCCTTCACTTATGCATTTTTAAGTCAGTCCTTTCACAGGTCAGACAATGCACAGTAGTAGTTCATGCACAAGGACAGACTCACGTTTTAGAAATGCAGCTCTTCACCTTTAAATCCTTACAAAGCTACATATCAGAACTACAACACAGATTCTTCAACACAGTTCATATGCACACTCAAAACAGTATCTGCATGTCCTTTTGTGGTGATTATAGATCCAAATTATCAGAGAGATGCACTCAGAAGGTGCATATGCAGGTCAAATGCTGTAGAAGCTGCAGGTACAAATTGCTTCCAGGCACACAGGTCCCAGACCTGCATTTTCTGAAAATCTGAGCCATACATCCTGATATGCCATGTTTCATATGCTTATTCTAAAGGAGCAATTGGGGGCTTGATTGTATTCCTCCTTTCAATGAGTGCAATCACATCTCCAGGGTGAAATTCACCTGCGTGCTTTTAGATGTCTCCAATATGCAGATCCATCTGAGATACCTGCGGCTTCCTTAATAGTCAATAGAGAGTAATGGACCTTTCTAGGAAGCATCCTTCTGACCTATTTTACATGAGGGGACATGAACTGCACTAAAAAAAAAGCCTGTGCCTCCCCTTTTAACATAAATAAGACGACTAGGTGCTGAGCTCAAGTGTGGATATCTGCTTTTACAGACACTCAGCTTTGCTCACACAAATTTCCACCCCAAATCTTAGTGTCAGATGCTTGAGAGTTTAAGAGATTTCTTACTCTACATTGAATGCTTTGTATAGTTTTATACCAGCTAAGGATGAGTCTTTTGCCACATTTCCTGTCCCCACCCACGAACTCCCTCTCAGCTATGCTAAAAAATAAAAACACCTAAAAGTTATCATCTCAGATTGGGAAGGTATAAAAAAATGCAAGAGCCTATGATGACATACAATGTAGACACATTTACATTTTCTCTTTGGTTTGGCTTTTCAAAGACAAAAAAAAAAAAAAAAATCAGTCCCAGCTACCTTGCCTTGTCTTAGACCCAAACAATATATTACATAAGCACTAAACACATGCAAGCAAATTTTTTTTCTTTAGCCATAGGGAAAGTTTTCTCTTATAACATGGACAGCAAAGGTCCTCTCCTCTCATAACGATGCATTAACTGGCCATGCAGCTAGCATCAGTCACTCTATGGAATTTCAGTTACAATTACTTGATGAATAACCCTGGGCTCTGGGATATTTTGCAACTCTAGATGCGGGCTGGTGAACCACAGTAGGTTTTGCTTGTTTCATTTTGTTAATGTGTTCTATAGGTAATTATTTTCATTGAAGAAAATGATTTGACTGTTATAAGCAGAGGTTACTTCTGTTCTCCTGTTTGCCTTTTCCATGCCATAAGAGGATAAATCACACCAAAAATAGGATGCTGAACAGGTGTTATAATAATTTGGTCTGTCAGTGCACTTTAGATTTGCTGACCAACAGTATAAGCATCATTTTTCTTAAACAGGCACAAAACATCAATCACCCAGCACCGACCCCAGTTTACTAAGTTAAAGATACAGATTTGAAACCCAAATATTCTCTTAAACCAAAACAGAAATCTCCTTCTAGCTTCCAGTGGAATTGTGCTCAATAATCAAAACTAAGCATGATACCAGGCAAGTGATATAAATCTCTTGCATGATCACAGACTGCACAATTATGCTGGCAAGGAATACCAAACAAAGGCAGCTTTCAAGGCCAGGACATTTTGTCAAGGGAGTCATGAATGAATGGAACACACTGGAGTTATTTCCTCGAGTAAAGCTACTCTGACATGTAAGTGTTTACAGGATGAGGCCCTGAATCCATAAAATGATTTGGATATGCACAGAAGATAAGGACAGTCAAAGTGTGTTCACAGTCTTTGGTGGGAATTTTACCACAAATGATTATGGTGCCTCCTGCCTCACATCTTCCTCACATCAAGGATGTGCTGCCAAGACCAGAGAGGTTTAGATAAAGAGTAAAAAGTTTAAGAAACTTTCAGTTAATTGGACTGACCTGAAAAAGTAAAAAGCCATTAGCAATCCTGCTCCGAGCAAAGCACCCACAACTATTCCTGTAACAGCTGATTCTCCTAGACCACCTGCTTGAAAAAGGGAAAAATAAACCATCAGGGTTCACATTGAGAACTATTTGCATTCACATATTTGAAAATACACAGGACTAGGAAATGAATGACCAGCATCAGACAATAACAAAAGCCATTTAGAGTTCAGGACTCCATGGGAACCTTTTCTTCAGTTCCAGTTCCTGCATGTGTATTTTTTGTCCCTGCTTTCCTTGAGATTAAACAAGCCCCCAAGGTCAGTGCCAAAAGAAGTCACAATCGTAAAGATGTGACATGCAGGAATGTTGTTAAGAAACTGGTCTGAATCATAATACCTGTACTGTGATTATAACAAGTCATGTAATAGGAATCAGCACTGAATATCACCTAAGCTGGTGTTACAGAAACAATCCCATTTCATCTGGTTTAGCATCATAACCACCTATCAGCCAGGTTTACTGAAATGACCGTATGATTATTCAGTGGCTCCACAGGCTCTTTCTGAACCTATGCTGTTTCAACTTAAAGCCACGTGAGCTTTGCCTTGCCCTAAGTCTGAACAGGGACACAGCCCCTAGCAGGGACTGTGACTCTGGGAAATGCAGGGCAGCTGAGCAACAATGGCATTTTCAGGTGGGTACATCCTGCTCCCTTTCCATGCCTAAACCTGGGTTCACGGGAAGGAACGAGAAGAAACAAAGAAATGAAGCAGCTTCCTCCTCTTCATTTATCCTTGACCCTTTGACGGGATTGTCTCTGTATATCAACGTGTGTGGAAGGAAACAAGGTGCATAGCTACACTGTGTACCTGCACTGAGTGCGTGTAGTTACACTGTGTATCTGTGCTGAGCATGGAGGGCACGGCCTGGAAGCAGTCTCTATGTACACAGGGCTTTTCAGGGATTGATGAATTAACAAGCTGCAAATACCTCTTCACTGCAAGGCTAGGAATTTGTTTCCTGCAAAGACCTAAGACCACACTTTGCCGCTCAAGCATCCCCATCCTCCTGCCCTCATCTCCTTGCAGTGCCCTGCTCAGTACGACATGGTCTGGAGACTCGGTATGATGGAAAACAAGGGCACCTGCTCTGTGGAGGGTAGTCACAGCCTTCTGGATTCCCAGTGGTTAGCCTACTCAACCTTCTTCACTTCTCACCTTACCAGACTCCTCAGAGTGCCTCTTCTCAGCACTGAAATATCATTCTGCACTGGGAGAATAAACTCTGCTCCTGTCAGACGGGGCTCCCGAACTGATAATTATCAATATGATTATTCTCTACTAGGGGGGTTCAGCTATATCCTTTGTTTGCTTCTTTTTGACTAAAAGAGATTTTACCTTTAAGCCCCCCCGAAGGTCCCAGAACCTCCAGGGCACTGGGCCAGTGCCTTATGATTACTATCATATTTAAGTACAGAAGAGTGATTCAGACCACGTACCATCCAGGGCTGCCAGACTCTAGCTTCCCAAACGGTCAGCAGAGAGACATAGCCACGGAGTCTCAGTTGGACAACTGTGCTAAGCAATCCAATACAAACTATTTTGCTGCATCACCACATGGATTCCTCTCTCTGACAGCCTGGATGGAGGCATTATGTCACTACACTTACATGATTTACAAGGTGTATTGTTTGTATGCTCTGAAACACGGCTTTCATCTAGTCTCAGCCTGCCGTGACTCCAAGGATATTTCACATTTGATCGAATTTCAAAACGCCCCTGCTTTCCGTAGTAGTCCCCGATCACCTATGCAAAAAAGAAAGGAAAGAAAAGAAAAGATTTTCCTATTGACTATGGAAAACAAACAGGAGGGGTGCATCACTTGAACGCTTGTGGCAGGATGTTGAATGAGGGAAAATAGGGCTGAAAGGGTCTTTGGGAGGTCATGTAGTCCATGCCCTGCCCCAAGGCAGGATCAGCTGAAGGAGAGCATTCCTGGCAGATGCTTATCTAACCTGCTCTTGCAAGCCTCCAGAGACAGAGTCTTGACAAGCCCTGTAGGCAATTATTCTGGAGCTTAGCTATCTTTGTTGTTAGTGGTTTCCCCTAACATGTAACCTAGATCTCCCTTGTTGTAATTATCCATCACTACTTATTCTATTGCCAGTGGACACAGAGGCTTTTCCTTTCTGAAACATCAGTTTACATATTCATAGCCTGCTATCAGCTCTCCCCTCAGCCTTCTCTTGTATATAAACCCAACTTCCTGCTGCTCTCTCTCCCTGGACTTTCTTCAATTGCTGCACCATGGGTTGAGTCTTCAGGAATGGTTGTACTGCAGTGGAGGTCTGCAGGACATTGGGCTAACCAAAAGTGCTGACGTTCCTGACTGCACATTTCTAGCTGGACATTTCTTTTTTGTATGGACCTGGAGGCGCCTGAGGTTCAGCTAAAACCTTCACATCTTCTGCAGAATTACTACAGAGTCAGTTATTCTCTACCTTGTAATTCTGCATTTGTTTATATTTACATAGAAAAGGCATTTGGGGTTTACCATTCTGGTAGCATGTGCTATTATTTCAGACCAATTCATCAAGATACTTTAGAATTTCTGTCCTGTCCTCAAGAGTAAATCCAGGCTTTATTCAAGATAAGATCCACTGGATCTACTGCAAAGTTGCAGGTCTAAATTGTGCTAACAGTAGTAGGTCACTCATCTGAAAGTAGTTCCCAAAAATCTATACACTCTAATAAGGGTAAAAGGCCAGATAGGATGCACAAACACTGAATGAATCAGCAGGGATGGAGGAGCACATCAAAAGGCATAAGTGACCAACTACGGATACGATCTATCTATAAATACACTGTGTTTAGATATTAGAGTAATGCTTCTTTTACTCAGGCTACTGATAGCCTGTTCAAATCTTACACCTGAACTCCCTTTTGAAGAGAAAGATTTAGAAGGCGTATAACATTTGCCCTGATTAAGTACACAAAGGTAGATTTCACATTAAATAAAGGAGCAGATTTCTCTCCCAGTATTGCAACTGGGAGTTAAGATCTTAGAAGAAAGTCCTTTTTATATTAGTTCAAAAATACAGGCAAATTCAGTAAACTGGAAAAAGCATATAAAAAAAAAAAAAACCTCAGAGACCACTTGCAGGCAGCAGGCAATTCACTGAGAGACTGTTTCATTTATCAAAAAGGAATAGGAGAGGTGTCTTTATTACAGTGTAACCCTCCTCTACCAAGAGGACTTAGTAAACGTGAAAGGATGCAGGAAGGCTTGACAAGAACAGATAGGTAGTAGCAACCAAACTGATTCAGATGAGAAACAGGACAAATGTACACTGGAACAAACACTGAGGGACCAAGTGAGAGAGTCCCTGTTTTTCAGTGTCTTCCAATGAAAAATGAATGCCTCTTAGAGGGTGAGCTTTAGTCACATGTAAACTGTCGAGCTCCGTAAAGGGTAAAGGATTGTGCCTGCCTGTGATGCAGCAGAGGTCAGACTTAAGTAATCCGATGTCTTCTTCTAGCTTGAAACTCTATGAATGGATTTAGAAAACCGTTCTGGCCAAACACAGGTTCATCTGGCTCAGTTCCACTGAGAAACAAACATTTTCACGTTGACATGGAAGAAATTGGCAGAATGAATAAAACAAAGGCATCAAAGAAACCATGTTATTAGTCAGATTAAAGTACAAGGGCAGAATTGAATGTAGTGGACGCTAGTAATAAATAATTGCATATTGAATATGTTACTTGCATGTATATTTTTATGTATCATCAAAAACAAAGCACAGAGAAATTAAGATGAGAAGTATGCTAAAGGGGAAGAGGAATGCAACATCAAAGAAATAAAAGATAGCCTGAACTGGAAGGGAAGGAAAGCGAAGGAAGGAAGCCTGGAAGAATTAGACTAAACTGATAAACATGATAAAAAGCTAACACATTAAGCGAAAAGAAGAGATGCACACTGTTCCTGTCAAACTTATCCCAATCAATTTGTCCTACTAACTTTAAGTAATGATGATTACTCCTCCTACAGACACTCCTGGAAGTGTCTGTAATTCACTGCTGAAGTTTTTCAGTCATTTTTACCTACCAAAATGCCCTAGCAATCACAGACATTTAAAAAGGCTTTCTGAGTTTGTATTTACTGCAGCATTGACATGAACAATAACTTGAGAGTTTCCTTCATTAGATTCAAATCCACACATAAAAATGTCCAGCTCAGGTTTACTGCCACTTTGCATTTGAGCTTACTGGCCTCTGACGAAATGAGGAAGGCCAGCAAAGTTTAGGTTGATGCTGACATTGCAACTAACAGCGCAATGGTAAAGTACCTGTTTGCTTCAGCTGGAGTTAGGGTAATATATATATTAACAAACTCAGCAATACCATTTTAATGTATTTATTTAATAAACAGATGCCCATTAACTAAACAGATGATACGATGTTACATCAACCCGGGTAACTCATCAGTGGCTAACTGAAATAGTGTTTGTTTCCTTACCTCTTGTGTGCCTGCTTCTGGGTCCGTCATTGCAATCACAGAGAAATCCCCATATCTGTCTCCATTGGCATCAATGGACACCTGCCCTGCAATGCCTAAAGAATGGCATGTGAGGAATTAGAAAATTAATTAGTTAAAATATCAAGCCTTTCCAAGGAAAACAAGAAAACAGTGGACAGGTTTTACAGACCGATATGACAGGAAATCTCATCAGTCTCCCAGCATTTTTGTTGACATTCCAAAAGAAATTGTAATTTCATCTTGGTGTCTGCATTCCTGAATTCTTAACATTTCTCCTTTTTAAATATCAAATGTGTGAGACTAGGGAATATGTGAGAAAAATCTTATCCAGAAAGCCAGTGGGCCAGAAAAAAACAAAAATACTTTTAATGCAAATTATTTACAGAGAGCTCAGCCCCAAAGCAGCTAATGATGCCTCAGCAAAGGGAGTCCAGCTCACATGCTGCAGAGACCTTCAGGGCACAGCCAGAAGCCCCACAACCTGATGTGGCTTGGGGCACCGATACAGCTAATCCAGCATTGTATCCCATCTGATGGGATATTGGAGGTGCGAGAGAAAAGAGGAACCATGTGCATTAAATTCTGCATTCATTTACATATGATTAACTGCCTAATATGGTGCTGTTCATTTTCTAATTTTGACCCCAACTCACTTCCTTCCTTTACACATTTGAGGGTAGGATCTCACATTCCCTTAGGCCAGCTGCCACTCTTATTTCACATACTTTAACAAAATTTAGACTCCCGAAGACCGTTCTTATTGACAGATCGTGGCTTCATCTTAGCAGCCCTTCATATGATGAAGTCACATTAAAAATTCTATACATGAAATCACGTAAGATTCCTGATGATTTCAATATTTGTTTTTAATAATGAGGAATAAATTAAATGTCTGGTGGATATTGTGCATGTGTTAGATACCATCTCTACTTGTAACTACTACTAATATTCTAGGAAACGCTGGGCAAACTTATTTAAGTGGGAAGGGATTTCAGGACTCCAGTCCAACTTCCTGCTCAAACAGGGTCAGCTAGGAGGTCAGAATAGGCTGCTCAGAGATGTATATGGTCTTGAAAACCTCAAAGCTGGGAGACTGCACGATCTGTTTCAATGCTTAACTGTCCTCACACTGGGAGGCTGCTGAAATGTGATCCTGCACTGCCTGACACCAAATGCAGCAATTTACACCTGTGCAAAGCCAGTGCAAGTCAAACAGGCATCACTTCATATCCATGTTACACAGGTTATGTGACTACCCCAGGCACAAAGCAGTAGAGAATCAGGCTCCCATTGACCGAAAATCAGAAAAGAGAGGTCAGCTATTCAGCTAGAGTGCAAATTCCCCTCAACATACCTAAGAATAGTAAGCCTTCAACAGATTGACACACCTACATTTATCTGCTCTGTTTCCACTTTAACAGAGTGATATCAGGAACGTTTAAGCCTATTGTGATTTTCAGCATATGCACTGTTAATTAAAAGATTTACTGTCAAACATCTAGTTTCAAGTATAACAGTACAGTAACCAAACAACTGCAATTTGATTATTGCAGGAGGACAGAATGGGCGTTCCGTAGTTCGCTATGAAAGCGGTGAAAGACGCCACTATAAAGAGCTGCAATGTCCTTGCCTACAGGTTGCTGGATCTGACAGGAGGCTGTATACAGAACAGTCACCTTCCTGGCCTAAGAAAGCCAAAACTGAATTATTGCAGGTAGGTACTAGAACTTGCTGAAAAGCAGATTTCCTATGGAATTTTTTTTAATGGGAAACACTAATTTTTTGACTTGCGATATGAAGCAAAACAAAGTGTTGAAATTTCAACATTTCCTAAAACGTTGTTCCCGAAGAAGCATATTTAGGAAATTTTATAATAACCTCAAAGTAGTACGACATTTGGATGAATCTAGAAGGATTTTATCTGGACCATCTTTTTGTTATATTATGTTAGATACTTACATACTGAAAATGTTGCTACAGTTTCAGAGGAAATCTTAATGAAATCAAAATATCGCTCACAAAATGTTCACTTCAGTCATATCAAGGTGTCTCTAACAACCCAGAAATTTTGGTATTTCTGCTATTTGGTATAACCCAATAAATATTTTGATCATTTCAGCCTTCTTTTCTTAAGTACTTGTTGCTGTCTGTGCAGTTGTGGCTGGCAGTTGGGACTGTGAATGCTGCATGAAATGGCATCCACATTCAGTTGGGTTTCTGATAGGTCACCTACTCAGAGCCAGCTGTAAGATGACGTGCACAGGCAATTAGAGATCTATATGTCAGCAATTACAAATTAATGGCAACAATTATATTTCTGATGATCAAGGCCTGAAAAAGTTTAAGTGAATTATAAAGCCTCAGTCCTGCAACAGACCTGGTAAGCGTACAGATGGACTGTATGCTGTGATGCTGCATTCATTTTAGAGAGGGGCTTACAAACAGGATAAAGGGATATGATTTTCCTGAAAGGACCGGATCGCAAAAAGCCAGGTGGAAGGCTTCTTAAATCAGGCCTATCCTTGTAAAATCAAGACCAGCAAAGTACTGCCACAGGTTGGAGATGGCATATAACTTGCACGGCATTTTGACCTTGCAAACTATGCCCTCACAACTCAACTTGGCAGTTGTGTTTTCAGAATAGCTGTGACAGGTCACCCAGCAACAATAAACTGGTTTTCACAGGTGAGGAAAGAGAACATTGTTTTCCTCCTGGCTGGTTTTACAAGTAAGGTGCGAGAACCTATCGTGTAACCTGTGCTCTCCTCTGCATGGAGCACATGGTGCTATAAAAGATGTGCATAGGCACTTCATCTGGGGGCTTTCTGGAGCAGAAAATTAGGCAAGAAAACACAGACAGCCTGTGCTGGAGCATCTGTTCATACACAGGATGGGCAAACAGTAAGGCAAATCCTTAGACATCAGATTACCTCTGTTAAAGGAGCGTGTTTTGGGAAGCCATGGATGAGACAGGAGATAATGTAGCTTTCAGCACAATCTCCAATTGGTGCAGGGGTCCTTATGGGATGACTGCAGCCAGCATCATTTAAAGCAATCCCAAGGTTGTCTAAAGCCACACTGTGGGCTGTTTTGCTTTCTGTTCAGCCGTAATTTCAGAACATAAGAGGTTTTCAGCCACTGTCCTTCTTGCCTTCCTCCACTATGTCCAGTGTGTGTTCTTAGAGCAGAGAATCTGGCCACGGAGTTTTTCTAACATGTTTAAATTCATCATTGGCTTCTTATCTAGGGAGAACGTTTCTTGCTCTTAGGCATTTCCATTGGAAATCTCATCAATTGTACTCCAAAAGACTGGAATATTATAAGAGATGACAGATGAATCCAACAATGCCAGAACTCAGTTATTCCTGCCTGGCAAAAGCTCTCACATAGCTTTACATCAGTAGGGTGACATCCATGTGCCAGTTGCACTGTGGAATCACAGCCTACAGGATTAGGCACAGAAAGTCACAGTACTACTCAGCTGCTGCCTCTGAGATAACATGTAAAGGTCCTGAAAGAGGCTGGGAGGAAATCCTTCCAGGGCCCAAAACAGCCTTGTCAAGGAATAAAAAATTGGCACCTGCTTGCTTCGATCCATTCCCAGCCTTTTAAGATAAAAAAGTCAAATGGAAAGAATGAGGCAATCTGAGAGCTAATAGATGCACTTGAGTAAAGTGAGAAGCTGTAATCTTTTCAAAAACAAAGGAGCCTGAGAAAATTATTGGTATTCTTTACATCATCAGTGAGGGTCATTAAACGGTAAGTTCTTTGAGCCGAATAACACTTCAAGGGATGGTGCAAAAAAAGTTTAGATTGTTATGTGAGGCAGCCTTAAAGATGTGTATGGTTTCATATGGATTTTTGCTTCTCATTTAAGAGTTGCATAGACACTGGTCCTTATTCTGCACATAGTAAAGACCTGAATTTTTTTTTGTCTCTGAAAGCTGGAATTCCACGTTAACTCTTACCTTCATATGTTCTGTTCCGTGTTTGCTGAACAATTTTTTCCCCATCTTTCTTACTGAAACCATACTTCAGGACTTCCTGTAAAGCTAGAGCATAAAGAAGAATAGCATCATGGAATCCTTCCACAAACATGTTCACCTAAAAAGGAGAAAAAAAAAAAAAAAAAAAAAGGCAATTTTCCAAATAAAAACATTTGTGTCTGAAACCATACTTCAGGACTTCCTGTAAAGCTAGAGCATAAAGAAGAATAGCATCATGGAATCCTTCCACAAACATGTTCACCTAAAAAGGAAAAAAAAAAAAAAAAAGCAATGGCAATTGTCACATGAAAAACATCTGTCTTCCCTATGGAACTGATTAACTGGAGAGAATCTCCAGATTAATCAAAATGACCAATTTGAAGGGTTATTTTCTCAACTGCTGGAACACAAAGGAATGTATCTCAAAAAAAAAGCAAGAAGAAAAGTGTAACTTTTGACCCACTTTTAAAAATAGTCAAAAAAAGTTAACAGTTATACTATCTGCTATTCTGAACATTCAAATCGCGCTTCAATGTTGTGTCTGAATATTTCTGCAGATAGGGGAGAAATCTGCTGATCACAGTTCCCATGCCAAGCTGCACAAATTCTGCTGCTGATCGCATGGGGTTCTGAAAGGTGCTGAGCACCTCATCCCACAGCACTGAGAACGTCCTCCTCCCTCTGCACAAAGGACTTAGCACCTGTCAGGATTGGGAAATATGCTTTGCCATGATTTTTTTTGGAGAGCATAAGTTTTTCTGACTGGTGGATTTGCTTGTTTAATGATTACCACTTCTATTTCTGGCCCCTGCTCAGCTGAGCATCTCTCCACTAGCAAACGAGCAATGGAGGAAACTGCTTACCCTCTGCAGTAATGTGTTCTCTGGGGCTGCCAGGAGAACAGTTTCCTATCTTCTATCATTTTTTTCAGTAAATGACATGAACTAAATGAAATGTTGCTTTCTAACACTAATATAAGGAGACTGCTGCAAACCGGTGACGTCTTCCATGAGTCAACACAGACAGCCTGCGGCTTTTGTCCTGCACCACTCTGAATATCAACAGCAGTTAAAGTAGAGTGCTGCACAAACATTATGGGTTTGTTTGCCCGAGCCAGGTGCACCTCAGTGATGAAGCACTGAACCGCAGTAGGAGCTGAGTTCAGATCTAGACCCATCACCAAGAAGCAGATACGCAAGCGGCTTGAACAGCACAGCTATTCCCCTCCTCTAAGCAACAACTCACATCTCCGTCCTGCAACACATCCTGGCTCGATGCACAATAATTCAGAATTAATTATCTTTTCAACTGAAAGAAGGATGTTCCCATTTGCTCATAGTTTAGTTACACTGGAAAAGTGCCTCGTGTGCTGAAGCTAGCAAAGGTGCAAGCAAAGGTTGCAGCACATTATGGGGCCTCTTACTGCCATTTCCACTGAACAACACCCTTCTATAAATATGCTCCCGGTTAGAAACAATATTTAGCTTATCTTCAATTTCAGTGTATCTAAACAACTAAAAAATGTTGGTAAACAAAGCACTGCTCAAACTCCCACAGTTTTAGCTGGACATTAAAAAAGCTGAAAGATGTAGCCAGTTAAGTAAATAACTGCTCCACAGATAAAAAGTATTACATAGTTGATTGGCCAAGCAGAACTAACCAAGCTCCTGGTTATGTAATTACATACAAGACATTCTTTCACTCTTCAACTGGTTGCCAACAGTAAGGAGAATGAAACCTGTTCACCGATAATATGGAAGTTTAAATTTCTCTGACATTTAAAAGTGGATGTTTACATTACTTTGATCTATGTTTCATTAAGAAAATGCAACACAAATTTAGGGAAAAAGCCGCCAGTGTAATGGAAGGCGCAGCACAGCTCAGTTTGGTAAGACAGCCAAAGATTAAAAAGGTAGCTGAAGTTATTTTGACCTAAAGAGAAAGCACAAAAGAGAAGGTGAAAGTCAACCTTTTGGTGGAATAGTAAGAGCTGATGGAGAGAGTGCACACTAAACAGGCTTTGCCAGTGGGGGATTAATTTTTTAAGACAAAAACCAAACAAACAAAAAAGCAACTCACAAAGCCGGACAACTGCTTTATGTGCCAGCCTTTGAGTCCAAGTGGCCTGTGGAGGATCAAACATGGGCTTTCATGATGTGACACTCATTCTCTCAGGAGGAGAAAGAACGAGTCTCTCTGGTTGCTTTACCTCCCTGCTGACTGATTTACAGCTTGTGGTTGGCATGAGTTTCAAGGAAAGCTATTTGTTGCTTCCTTTGTCCATGGCAAAGACCTCTCAGTGTAACACAGCAACCGTCAAAACCTGTTTGGTCAGCTAACTTGCTCAATCTGAAATCTATCCATGCAACCCTGAAAACCCTCCAGTAGATGCTACAGAAGATTAGCCAAATGAGCCTTGGCAAAACTCGCCTGGCAGTTTGGGAGGGTATTGCTGCAGTCCCCTGCCTTGCCCCTTGGCCAGAAGTCCTGAAATCGCATAGGCAAATCATCAGAAAATCATCTGCACCACCTTGCAGTTCCTCCAGTACAAGAACCAACACTTTCCCTTACGCTGTCAAGGAAGGTGAAACTACTGGTAATTTACACCATTTCAAATCTTTTAGGAAAAGAGTAATATTTTACTAATTGCAGCTGGAAAGCACTCTCCAGCCAAGCAAATGTTGGGCACACTGGCTGCTTTTCAGATTTCACCAGTAACGTTTTCAAGCATCAGTTTTTGAAAGGGGACATAGGATACTGTGAACAGCATAAAGTTTTCCTGCCTATCATCTTGCTGGGTCATTCAGAAGTTGTATGGTCCTGCACAGAGGATGGGTTGCATGATGTGTAATCAACAGAGTTCAGGACTGCTCTAAGCTAGAAAGGAGAGAACATTTGAGACGGGAGGAATATTCAAGTATTACATAGCTATTTAACAACTTGAAGGGATTGCTGTTTCTGTGTTCCATTTTCTATTTGCTCATTCAGATTCATTTTGCAGGCCTGTTGCTGTGACTAAGATTGCCTACAACAAACCTGCTGAATAAAATGAGTGCAACATTTGTGCCAGATGGTGTATCTGATACCACTCCTGATGCACTAGAACAGTGTCCCAGGACTTCTCTTTTGGATAACATTAGTTCTGAGTGTTGTTGTACCTCATGTATCTTGTTGGTAAAAAGGCTTTTCTTCATTTTTATCCCCCCCTCCTTTTTTTTAAAAAAAAAAAAAAACACAAACAACATTGCTTATGTTCTACAGTCAGTCCAAAATATTTTTGTGCCAGTTTTCAGCCTACGTATACTTGAGAAGTTTCATATAATTTGTAACTAACATTATTTAGGAATCTAAACATTAAATTTGTACGTGTGTGTGCTGAAGAAAAATAAAAAAAAAAACTCAGCAGTATTTTCAAAAGAAACTTGAGACTGAGTGTGCTGCCTGAACTAACTTAAAGAGACACCTGAATTGCAGACGGTGACATCACTCTATCGGGTCACCAAAGCTTCTCAAGATGCATATCCCAAAACTGAAGTATCTAAACCATCAATATCTTTAGAAAATCTTGACCACTTATCAAAAATGACCAAACAGATTGATATCAAACTTTTCCCCACAATTTTTACATTTTTTGAGGCTGTGTTTCTTTGGGTTTTAGAATATCTGTCACTAAAAGCAGTTATAAAAAATAGTGTTTTCTTCCCTTGCTGCAAGAAGTATACTACTGCGGGAACGAAAGGTTTAAAGCACTAGAAGAAGCAGATGTTCCATGAATGTGTCAAGTGGGGACCAGAATAATTGTGAAGGTGTCTTCACAGGTGGCTCGATGGTCTCCATGGTAGCTAATAACGTGTGATTTAACCTCAGATAGCCCTCAGGAAGACACTACACCACTTAAGATTTTGAAGATCCCCTAATCTTGTAGATAACCAATAATTCTTTTAGTTGAGCTCCAATTAAAGGAGACATTTTTGATGGTAGGATTTTCCAGTTTGTTTTATGTTGATTTTTTAAATTACAAGGGGGAGGTTAACTCAAAATGCTATGACTACTGTCAATAAGTCAGGTCTATTAAAATCTTGCTGACTCCCCAGCACAGCCACCCTACCAAAATGGGTCACGAGCAATGTGACTGGCAGCAGAAAAGCTGCCACTTTGCTGAACCTCTTTGGAGGCTGCAATACAAGTATGTGGAACTCCCCGTCCTGCGATACCTTCCATATCACATTCACATCCCAATCAAGGTACAGGATAATTAAAAGCAGATAAGGTAGCTGCTGGAAAACTGAATGAGATAAACATACATTTTTTTCTTTTTATTTTCCTACCTTTCTACTCTAGTTAACCATCATCCATTAGAGAAAAACCCTCTCTATGGAAATCACATGAATAAATTTTACACAGTTCAAAGTTATAGTTCCCCAAGCAGCTATAGTGTGACCACACTATTCATATATACCAAGGTGTTAACAGCATACACAGCAATGCAAAATACTACCGACATGGAAGACAGCCAAGCTTCAGCTACACAGGACCCATAATTTTCTGTATCCTCCCCACAGACTGTTAAGTAACATTACTCTCTTCCATCTGGAACTGCCCAGGTCTGAAGCACAGCAATTACAGCAATTCATACCACTTCAGTGCTAGGTGGGCGGGCGGGGGATCATTACTTTTTTTTTCCCCCTACTGCAAAGTCAAACAGCTAACATCCCCTACAGTGTCTGTCTGAATGTATATTCCAGTACGTCCACACTGCTTTTCAAGTCCTGTCAAACTACAGTCCCAGCCAAAATCATTGAGGACTCCGGGGGCTGCATGGGATGTACCCAGATTTTTGCAAACATCTTACTAACTTACTAATTACTAATTGACAGGGATATAACAATGTGAGCTAACGCTCAGTATCTTTTGGATTAGTCCATGGGGATGAAACTTTAAAAACAATCAAGTTTAGAAGTTTGACACTATAATCACATCTTCAGAACTATGAATGCTGTAAATGAACTCTCTGAATTTTAACAATATTGTGTCATGCTATACAACTATAATATGACTCAGCAAAAATAATAGCAACATAGTTCAAATATAGCAACTATATTTCAGTTATACATATAT